TAGGAATTAAGTAACTCTATAGTCTCGTAGCTCAGGCCTAACTCTGCCTGTCTTAATGTATAATTATGATTAGAGGTTTGAATCCACCAGCTGTCTCATGGGAGAACAATGTGGCAATCTGTTTCCATAACACTTTATAGACTCAGAAATCCCAAGGGGCAGTTCTACTCTGTCCCTATAGGGTTACCTGTTCAATGTCATTGGGTTAATTTTTAAAGAAATAGTACTGTGGACCAAAGAAAGTTTCCTTAAAGAGGTTAAACCTGGGAATATTTGCAAGAGCTTAGAAAGGATAGGAGAAAATGAAGAAAGACACAGCAGTCACAGGAAAATGGATCTGGTAAAGAATATGTGCAATATGCTTAACTAACTCATTACATGGAACCAGCTCAATGTTGGCCCTCCAGTTGGTTTCCAGAGGCTGTAAGAGAGAAAACTGTAAGAGAGGAAACTGCCCATCTTTAGTAGAGATTTGAAGTGTCAGAGAGGCACCACTTTGGGTTAGCAGCACAACTTTTCATAGACTATGTTACCAGAACTCCCTGAAATGTGTCTAGTGGACAAAAGTATCAATTTTACTGAAATAAAGGGTTTATGTGTTTGGATGAGGGAAAGAAAAGACAGCAGGTCTAGTGAGGAAGTCAGCAACAGTTCAAGTATGAAAAGGAAAGGACTTGGATAAGGGTTTTAGAAATGCCAAGACAGGATAAAAGCCAACGAATTCTTGGAGATAAGTGAAACTTGGCCAGGGGAAAGAGAGGTGAGTGAGAGACTGAGTCTGCGAAGGAATCTGCTGAATGATGGTATTCCCAGGTACAGCCCCTGAGGTTTCAGACTACGGAGGTGAGCAGATTCTGAACAGATTTGTTGCCAGAGTTATCTTACAGGAACTTTAAATGTTTTACACTCCTTGGCATGGTTATTCTTTGACATAACAATTAGGAATTTATTTTAAGGAAGTAATGAGAGACATGGCCATAGAACTCTTTATAAAAGGAGGGTCATATCTAAATGTGACATAACATTGAAAACAATCACAAACAAACTAGATGTCCAGTATTATTCCCACACTCTTGCTCTTGTGTTGATACTGATGCACATCAACCCTCCATTGGGTTTCTCAAAAATCTTTACTAGGAGACTGCCCAGCTTTGTTCTGTGGAGCAGGCTGGTAGATTTGAACTGTCACCCTTTTGATTAGCAACCCAACATGTTAGGCACTATGCCACAAGGGCCCCATGCCCAAAATAGTTAAACAGATGATGAATAAATACAACAACTGAAAATCTTGGTTTTGAGTGGTATATAATAAAATAGGGAAATGGTTAAAAATAATTTGTAACTACAGGCAAAATCCACAAGTAGTAATTTCCTACGCTCTTGCCTGCTCTTGTTTAATAGATTTTGCATACCTGGTGGCACCCACTTCGGCCTTTTGCTTTCAACTGAAGGACTGCAGATCTGTAATGGTTTCCTAAGAGCGTTTGAAGGAGGAGAACCCGTTTTTGATGAGGGCCAAGATTCTGATTTGACAGCAGGAGCAGAAGTCACTTATTTGAAAAAAAAAAAACAAAAACCAAAAAGAGTTCATCACATAGGGAGATAAAGTTTAAAGCCCTAATGTGTAAGCATAATAATTATGGCTGTATTAAAGATTTGTAAATATTACAAAAAGATTTAAAAGACAGTATCATAAATATAAAATCTTTATTATTTAGTAAAGACACTGAGAGACTAAAATAGCAATCTTTTATAAGCATTTAAATACCATTTATATAATATACATGACCTTTAACATTTAAGACCAACCTTACACTGTTTCCATTTTTGAGCTATGACTTCTTCCATCAGATGAGTAAAGAGAAGGTAAGGCAATCTACCTGTAGTAGGCTAGTCAGGAAGGTTCTAAGGCATAACTGAAAACCAAGTCTGATTCCAAACGTCATGCTTGTATAACCTCAACACAACAGACAGACTTAGGAGTTACTTCCCATTTGTTTCTAGACCACTGCAACGAAGTTAACATCACACACAATAATCCGAGTCATTCAAATTCTTTGGTTTCCCAGTGCATAGAAAAGTTATGTTGAAACAAGACGGGGGCCCTATTAAAGGAGGTCTGGTAGTGTAGTGGGTTATGTGTTAGGAACCCATCAACTGCTCTTCGGGAGAAAGATGAGGCAGTTTGCTCCCATTATGGTTTGTTGTTGTTATGTGTTGTCGAGTCGCTTGCGACTCATAGAGACCCTTTGTACAACAGCCCTAAACCCTGCTCTATCCTGTGCCAATCACACTGCCTCCGACAAACTCATCCCAATTACCCCAGTCACTGAATCAATCCACCTCACAGAGGGTCTTCCCCTCTTGCGCCATCCCTCCACCCTCCCAAGCATGACGTCTCTCTCCAAGGACTAGTTTCTCCTTATAACATGTCCAAAGTATTTCAGACGAAACCTCAGGATCCTTGCCTCCAAGGAGCAGCCCGGTTTAATTCTCTCCTGGATGAATCTGTTTGTTTTCTTGGCAGTCCATAGTACTCTCAATACTCTTCTCCAGCACCATAGCTCAGAGGCATCAATTCTCCTTCTATCCTCCCTAGTCATTGTCCAACTCTCTGATGCATAACAAGTGATTGCAAAGACCATGGCCTGTATCAGATGCACC